CCTGACCAGCTCGAGCCAAACGAGGCAACGGAAACGGAATTAAGAGCCGGCAACGTATCGACTCGCGGTCTGCCACAAATCGTGTTAGGCACGCCATTAGCAAAAGCTGACCAAGAACCCTGGCAAACAACAAACGTGCACATGCCATTCAGCCAGAAACGGCAGCAAGCCCAACCTGAAACTGAACCGTTGCTGGACTCTGCCCCGGCACCCTCAAGTCCGGGTTCAATTCCAACTATGACACCGACTCCAGTTCCGTCTCCAACGCCAACTACGACTCCGTCTCTGGCAGGGCAAAGTGCACGCATCAATGACCGTAAACCAATTGAAAAGCATATTTGCATGCGCTGATTGACCCTGCGCCGCATTTGGGGCCAAGGCTCGGTTAGGCGCTTGTATCGTATCGCCGGGGCTTGAAATATAATATTGAACCTAACTGGAAGTCTGTTAGCAGGCGCTAAATGATTTTGCCCCGCCCCCACTCTAGGCACCGCCTTCGTTGCTGGCCTCTGGCGAAATGACTCGAAATTGGAAGCGCGCACGCGATTCCCAAATATTCCGGATTACGTTTGTAATCGAAATACTTGTAGCAAATGGCGGTGTCGAGAGCCTAGATATGAGAGGTCTGCACCCTATATCGATGTCGATGCCAATGCCGATGCCAATGTTGAGACCATGTGCGCCTCATAACAATGTGGAAAATTGTTTCCTGTATCAATTTCACACATTAAGGAAACAATTTGATTTTATCGCTTCCTCATGACTTCACGTTCAATTATTGAAGAGTTTACGTTTGCTGTCTGCGCCTCCTTTTGCCACCGTCCGCCACTCTCCCTTTGCTTCTGCCAAGCCCCTGCTCCATGCCCCCAAGTCGAACATTTCAAATGTGGCAAGTCGTCCCTGTGAGCTTTGTGTTGCCAAAAACATTTTTGTACATGTGTTTGTTAGCGCCTTTGTCAGTCGCTCATTTCGCTTTCGTCTGTGGGTTTTAGGTAATTCTTTTCAATTGATTCTGCACAAACTGCTTTACATGCCATTTTTCGTTGTTTTATACCCTATAACGATTATAAGTGACTTGCAGGGGATATTTTTGTTTCGAATGGGCTTGAGGTATGTAGCGACAGGAGCAGTTCCGACTTGATTTAGTTTTGGGGTCTTAAAAACACATATATTTTATTTCTTTGATCTTTATAGGAGCTCGATTCCTAAATATAGAACTCAGTGCCTATATTGCTTAAGAAGAATGGCTCTATAACCAAAAGTGGACCTGCATCTTAATAGGTTAATAGGTAAAACTCGAAAAATGTTTAAATTAAGATTACCTCAAGATGTAAAACTTTTATCGAAATTAATTTTTTGTTTTCATAAAACAAATTCTTTTACTCTAGAAAAATTGGTTATTCAGAATCGATTCAGATGTAAATATTTATGTGACGGCCAACAGTTACTTTCGATTTTACAATAAAATTAAATTTGATTCTACATTTTTAAAAATTTCCATTGCATTTTTTTTTAGCAAAACATAAGAAAATGTAAACGTAACTACAGTTTAGATAACAAATCATGTTTGGTTTTAGCAATGATAAACGTGTTTAGCTTCAAATACTCTTTAACAAATGCAATCGCAGAGAGTACAACTCAAAAAATATATTAAGAATTGCTGGGAAACATAAGTGTTAAGCAGGCAGGCACTTGAAATTGAAATCTTTGCTGCCACACGGACACAGGTAAAAGACTACGCTCCATCTGTCGAAGGGGGGGCTGTAACTGTTTGCATACCAAACTGGCCCCACATCAAGGCTCAAGAGAGTTACCAACGATTTGCTGTTTAAGATTCGTGACATGTCTGCCACCGAGGCCGTTGCGTATGCCACATACAAATGAGTCATTGTAGGGCACGTAGGCGCATGGCTGTCAATGGGTCAATGGGTCATCAACAAATCAGAGCTTTATGCAGGGCGGTAGTTGACGACAGGCCGCAATTAATGAAGCTCCATCTGCAGTGCATTTACTAGAAGTTTATTTGAATCAGAAAACACGAAAAATTCCACAAATTAGCAAAGAAATTAAAAAGTAATTTCTGGCAAGGGGAATATAAGGGGAAAAAGTGTGAGCAAAAGATTTGTAATTGTCATTTGAAAATGTTGCGCATGCAAATCAAGCCGAGTCCAAGGCTCAACACAAAGACCAAGACCCAGAACTAAACCAGAAATGAAAACCAAACTGAAACCCGGTCTTTGGCCAGGGCCAGGAACAAAGTCACAGCAAAGCAGTTGATGAAGGCTACACTGACAATGATGCCAACTGCTTGGCAGACAGAATTGAGAAAAAAGTAGAAACTTTTAATTTGATTTGCAGCATTTTAATGGATTTTAATGAAACGCAAACAGGCGAAAATGGCTGCAGCAGCAGCAGAAGCAGCTCCAGAACTTTGCCGAAAGGACACTTGAGGAGCATCTCTGGCAAAACTTTGACAAATGCCAAAGCGCGAAAAATTCACTTCACTTTATTTTGGGCGCATTTTTTTTAGCAACTTAGAGGCGACTCTCAACTGCGGCGCAACTCAAGCTGATGTGCACCATCCGGGCGGTACTTAATTGAAAATGTTTAAAATTCCATGACAAATTGCAGGAAAGCACACATACACACACACACACACACACACACCAAATCAAAAAGAAGAAAGTAAAATAAATTATAATAATGCAAAATTAATTTCAATTACTTGCAGAACAACATGAATGTGACAGCTATGCTTCACGAGTGGGCGGTGTTCGGTGGGGGAGTGGCAGGACGACATACTGCTAATTAAAATCACATAAATTACGCGCACACCATATGACAACACTTCAGCGAAATGATGCGTAATTTACAAAGGTTCCTTCATGTTCGCATATTTGATCAAAAGTCCAGCTAATTTGATTAGGCGTCAAGGCTCAGGCTCATTAAGTGGCCATCAGAAGTGGCCTTTGTTCGCTTTCATTTTTTCTTCAATAGACTTTCTTTATTTTTTGTTTAGGGCTGCGCCTTTTTTGGGCTCCTCTTTCGGTTTTTTTTTTTTTTTGTTTTTTGTATAGATTGGTGTATCCTGCCTTGGCTTGTAAGCGAGCTGGACAGAACTCATGAAAAATGTAGTGGAAACTAATTGCAACGGCATTGAAATTAATTATTTAACCCTTTTTATTGTTTAAGCTTTTGCCCATTGCCTTTTTGGCCTGGTCTTCGGTCTCGCTGGTGCCCCGGCCTTATTAGCATAATTAATTGTGCAAATTTACGTACTTAAACAAGCTATTATTTTAAATTAGCCAAGTACATTTCATCATCATGGCCAACCAACGAGTTCGCCGAAGTCTCCTGAGCAACAGCAGCATATGAGCAGGTGTGCAAATGCACACAGTTTAGCCGAGTACTTGACTTTCTGTGGTAAATTGCAAAAGGGGGATTTAAATTGCCATTGAATTCTTACGAGTCTTGCAGCAACAAGAAGGTGGCATTCATTTAAGTATTTGGCCGATTTTTTTTAAAACAATTTCTGTCATATGGTATTACAAAGAACAGACACATCAATGGACGAGTTGTCTAAGTGAAGCATTCTTTGAAGCAACTGATGAAGCTAGACAAGCTTACATTATTTAGGTGGCTAAGATATGAACAGAAAATCCACATCAATGTTAGCATCCAGGGACCAGAGCACATTCTTGAGAACTGTTCGGACGTCTGAAGGACTTAACAACTAAAAAAATTTTTTTTTTTCTAGATAATTTAAAATATTAATTGAGATTTCTTAATAAAGGGGCAAGGCGTGCAGCTTTACAAGTGTTAGGACTGAACAATAAGCTACGACTCAATGACAGAATGAATGTACAATAGACTCAATGCCAGGATGCCAGCAGAACAATGAGATTCCGGGTTTGAATCTCCGGCTAGTGTGTGACCAAAAGTAGTTACAACTATATAAAAACTAAGACAGTTTTTAGCTTACATGCACTTATACTACAAAAATAATTAGTATTATTTTTTTAATAATATATTTATTTCAACAATAATAAGTCGAAAGCAAGTACCAACTATACGTGTGTGTTAGTCAGTTATCGTTGATTTTCCTTTACTATCATAAGTTTTCTAGTCGAAAATTTGAATTTTATTTTAATGAACTGATAAGAGCTCAAACTAAGACCTGTTATGTTAAATTGTATCAAAATTTTTTTTTTAAGCAATTTGTTTATTTTCCAAAGAAAGAAAAAATTACTTAGTTAAAAGAAAATATTTATTTTATTTTTATTTTCATACGAATTTTCTTATAAATTTATTATTGATTATAACAGCTTTTAGACACTTCAATGAAAAAATTGCAATGAGTGTTCTATAGAAAAAAATTTGGATTATTATCCAATAAAAGATGTTTTCACTTTTAAGTCTTTTTATTAATTACTTACCCTTAATTTATAAAACTCTAATGCACAGTTTCAATCGTGTTTTAAATAAAAGAACCAATTATGCCAGTTAGGCAGGTCACGGTTCCGGACTAGTCACGCATAGTTCATGAATTCTAATTAAAAAGCGCATTGTATACCGCAGCAATTAAAGTTCGTCAATCTGTCAGTAATGTCACAGATTAGCGCAATATACTCTTACGCAGCAGTCATTCCTTTTTTTTGCTACCACATAAATTAAATAAAATATTTATTTAAATTGTGTGCAACAAATAAAAGGAAAAAAACCTTAACAAAATTGTTTGGCTTCATCACTGACTGAAAATATTCGATAAAAAAATGACAACAATAAACAAATGTATTTTTTTTTTTATTTAGTTTTCTTGTTTTTATTTTGTTATTTATTTTTTTGTTTGTTATTATTTTGTATTTGAATAAAAATAAAACAAGTTCACAACCAAAAGATGTGCGAATGAATAGGCGAATCAATTTATACACATTGCCAGTAATACTCATATTGTATATAATTTTTTATTCGCTTTATGTTTGCACTCGGCTTTATTTTAATTGCTTGCTGGATAACAAAAAGTGATTAACAAGTGCCCGACTTTGTATTTTGTTTGACTCTCCAATTTAATATATCTAGTTACAATGTTCTTTTTTATTTAAGCATTTCTTTATGTCTTTAATTTAATTAAATTAAATTTAGTTTTTTTTTTAGCTTCCATCGGGTAAATGCTTTGTTAAACCTATTTGATCTGATCTGAAATAATTTCGATGCTGTTCACTTTTTTCGCTTTAGTTTGGCAGTTAGTACAAGTTTTTTTTTTGGTTTCACGTGAACTATTCTTGTACATTAATGCTGGTTGGCTTATAGTTCTATTTCTAGTAGCTTATTAATATGAACATTTTTTTTGAAGTTAGTTTCGCTTATTTCTGTGTGAGTTTTTGCATGTATATACTTTGATTCGAGCATTATTAAAGTGTGTACATTCCATGCACAAACTTTAAGTCCTTTTATCGTCTCTATTTTTTATGGGCTATGGCAGCATGATTATTATTTTATGTCCGTTCGCCTTGGTTTTTTGTTTTTGTTTTTTTTTTTTTTTTTAACGTTTTAAAATTGTATTTACAGCTTTATGTTAACTAGCCTATACATATCGCTATGTTCATAATAATTTTTACAACATTTGCATAATCCACAGAAAATTTTTATTCGGGGTTTTGCATTCTCTTAATTCTTTATTATAAATATTTTTTTAAATTTGCATTTGACCTTTTTTTGCGAAAAGTGTTTTATGTGCATAAAAATGTGTGTTGGTGTATGTTGATTATAATTAGATTTGAAAAATGTTTACATGTACATTAAAAATTCGTGTTTGCTCAACTTTGTGACCTTATCAAGCAAATTGAACACCTTAGTAATTCAGTTGTTTCCGTTGAGTGCAGTTTTTTTATTTTATATATTATTATGTTGTAGGTTTATTTGTAATTTGTAATTGATTTCGAATACAGACATTGAATTCATTTGGCTTTACGGCGAGGGGATCCCAAATCGCCAATATGCATAAGTGCCAGGATTAAGAAAAAACAACATTTTGCTTAAATAACAACAACAATAACCCATTAAAAATAGAACATAGCGCTTGCATTTTATATAAACTTATGTTAGGCAGTAATATATATTTGGGGATATGGATTATTTGTAATGGAAGCCTTAAGTAAAATATAGCTATTATTCAAATAGAAAATATATAATTAATGTTTAAATGAAATTAGATTTTTTAAACAATTTTATAAATTGAATTGAATTCATTTGAGTTGCGCTTCAACCTTAATGCATTAAATGACTTCATTTCCTGTTCTGCTTTTGTCTCTAAAACACACTTAATATATTTGTTTTTAATATATATATAGGGTGTTTAGTATGCTGACTTTGCACGCCTCCTACAACTGACCCGCCCTTATTATGTACAAGTGACACAAACAAACAGAAGTTTGCCCACATAGCCTGCTCTTGCCATATGATTTGCCCATTACCTTGAGTCCATTTCGGCTGGTCATCCTTATTAGACATCTCTACTAACTACCTAACTAATTTGTTGATATAGTTGCCAAAGTTTCCGTCGCCTGAGACCAAGACTGAAGCAATTTCGTAACCGATGTGAATGCTCATGAATCGCGTTGTGAATATTTTGTGGCCAGAATTAACGCACAAAGACTCGAAACTAAGAAAGTCCTTTGCCAGAGGCAGCTCCTGGTGTCTGCAGCGGATGAATCTATGAAATAGAGGTAAATAGGTGCAGAGAAATGGGAACGGAGTTATAAGTAATAAACTAAGTACATACAAGATCAATTAACACAGAAAAGATATGATTAATTGCAGTAATATATAGGACCAATCAGATGGATATAAAAATAAACTTTCATTTAGTTTTAATAGATATATATTATTGTACTACATATTCAGACACGCTTGTATTTATTTCCAATGTCGTTCTGTAAAGGCTTTCTTTTTTGTAAGCTCTTAAATGTAGCCGACTGCGTACTACTCTATTCACAATTTTATTGATAAATCCACTGGATTGTGGAAATTTCATTTTAATTTAAAGCCTCATAGAAGACTCCTTTGCAACTCATGCTTAGTTTTAATTAATTTTTATAGAATTTAAAGAGATGCGTAACACAATTTGGGCTTAATATGTATTTACTTAATATTATTTACTTTATTTACTCACTTGTGATTGCGTGCCTCAGCATTTGATTGTTCAAATTATCAAATTCCGTGACGGATGCACTGAGCGTGGTCTCGCGGCGCAGCTCCGGATAGTTTTCGATTTCCGCAACGCACTTAAGCTCGAGTATCTTGCTGACCAGATAGAAGCGGTGTCCCTGCAGATAAAAGTGCACCTGGAGTCGCTGTCGGCGCAGTATATAGTCGTGGGCGGGTATGCTCGTATCGATGCTTGGCTGCAACTCCCCCAGCATTGGCTGCAAAAAGTTGTGATTGAGGACGATTCGAGTGGGTTGTTAATACTCGCTGTGGGTATGTGTGTGCGAGTGTGATTGTGTGATTGTGTGTGTGTGTGTGTGTGTGGGGGGGGGGGGGGGGGGGGGGGTATGTGCTTACCTGCTCTCCATTGATATACCAAGTGAGCTTTGTGGGCACACTGGAGTAGTCCGAGGAGCAGGTGGCACTGAGAAACTCCTCCATGCGATACATTGAGTTGAAGCCCTCGATGAGGGGGTCACTTTGCGGCAAGGCTGCGTAGATGCAACAAATGATAGACAAATTAGCCACAAATGGGTTAAGTGGTTTACGGTTTGTGCTTCGGCCCCACCTGCGACTGTCATGTTGTCCTCCTTGGCGGCCAGCTTAAAGTGCGGCGCATCTCCGCTCACCTCGCACTTGAAGCTGCCCGTAGACTTGGCGCCCAGCAGGCTAAGATCCACGCGGCACGTGGACTCGTTGCAAAAGTACTTGCCATCGAGCACTTGAATGCCGGCCACGGGAAATGTTAAGTAAACCGGACGCATCAGCGGCGTATATCTAAGGAAATTATATAAGCTCCAAGCTGACACCATGGAAACAATAATCGACTTGTTTACCTGAAGAACTCAAGGCGGTCCTTGTACCACTTCACCGAGTTCAAGGTGTGGCCGCTCATATCGTAGCTGCAGGACAGCGTCACATTGTCCCGAAAGTCCACTATCTCCGGCACGCTGATATCCGTAACGAAAAGCGCTGAAATCTTCTGCATGTCTGTCGAATTTGAATAAAGTGCAAAATGTAATTTCAATCATTCTAAAAAACTCGTTTATTGAGCCTTAACTTGCAAATCTATGATTAATAATGAGTAATCGAGCAAAATCAATTTTAATTTACTTTCAGACTGTAATTTATATTGAAAAGATTTCAAACCAAGTTGGGTTGGGTCCAAGATTTCAATAAATTTATTTATAAGCAAAATCGAAAACCATATAATTTTTTTTTTTTTTTCGAAAAATATTTTGGCTAACTCTTAAAAACATTTGAGATAGAAGGAAAGGTTCATTATTGAAACCAACGAGTAGGTAACCATGAGCCATGACCCATGAACCGATTTTAAGTATTGACATTTGGACAGGCGCTGCAACCACAAAGCAATATTTAAGTTTTGTCTCTGCATTGCAATGGGCTGCACATAATTTTTTGTTGCCACCAACCAGGTGCAGCTGCCACCAAGGGAGGCCGGTTAGCTAGTTGCATCGAATAAATTTGAAAATTTCATGCAATGCATATGCAAATTGGGCACAACAAACTGCGCCACATTGCAACAAGAATATGTATAGGTCTCGGTTTGTGGCATGTGGCGGCTGGGCTTGGGCAGCCAGCGATAAGCGAAGCGGAAACATATGCAACATCTGGTTGCTGTACGGCAGCAAAAATTGATAAGAAATGCGAACCAAAAACTGTCAAGCAGCTCGACTTATGTGTGTGTGTCCGTGTGCGTGTGTCTGTGTGTGTGTTGGTAACACATATATGTCATGTGGCCCAAGCGGACCAGAGTAAATTACAAAGATATCCAATTGATAGAAAAAATAAACTAAGTATTTTCTGACTGTTCGAAGCTGCCTGCCAGCCTTTTTACTAGATAATATACTTAGATGTATTTATATAAATTTTACCATCCATTTCTAATATTTGCGATGCTTATCAAGCTGCCAATTATTTATGTAGATTTAAAATGTTAGCAAAAGACAAAAACTTGTGCTTTCAGCTGCTTCACATGTTAATATACCATATGCAAATACGCTGCTAATTAAGCCATACTTTTTATTTGATGCTGGCAAACACATTTACTACCTTTACACACACACACCCACACACACACACACACATAGACACATCCAACCAGCAGAGAGGCAAGCGATTTCTGTGTGTGGCTAGATAAATTTACATATGAATTTGGCAAAGGACGCGCCGGCAAAAGTTTGGTAATAAATTCATTTAAAGATGCTCGAGACATTTATGCAAATATAAATATATGCATATATATATATTGTAGATATATATATATGTATATATAAGTATATATATATATCTATTTGTGGTTATTTGTATGGGCACCCATTCAGGCGGGTCTACTGTTAAGATTCCCGATTTGTATGCAACCAAAAATAATAGTATTTGCATAGTCTACCATATAATAAAATCAAAAGATAATGCAGCTATGCATATATCAACTATATTGTATGTTTTATGAGGGAGAGTGGGATAAAGTGAGAGATGGAGAGAGAACTGAATGGAGATTTAAGTTGAATGGAAAATATTTAATTCCATTAGCCAAGTTAAAACAGTCCGTAACGCGCATTTGTAAAATAGGTGTAAAATATTAAAAAAAACGTGTGAATTCAACATATGTGTGCGTGAGATTGTATGAGTGTGTGTGGGAAACCATGTATAAGGTCCCTGGCAATGTGCATCCCTTGTTAAATGCTTGAATGAATGGTTACCAATGTGTTTCGAGCGCGGTTGCAAGTGAAATATGTCAGCTGCATTTTGCAAGGACCAAAGTTGTCTTATGCTCTGCCAAAATGTTGTCGCTTTAGCTTTCTTCTTAAGATTTAAGACACCGTAGATCATAATTCTATGTTCACTTTTAGAGTTTAGAGTTTAGTTAAGAGCGCACTGAAAGCTTTAAATATGGGGTTTCTATTTGAATTGTGAAAAGGCATGAAATTGAATAGAATCAAAACTCAAATATAATAACTATTAAAAAAAAAAACAAACAAATGTTATATACTAATTATAATTTTAGTAAAAATATTAATAAAGTAAAGGTATAAATAAAATAAATAATAAGCGTTCAGCATTTATTTGACTTAACTTTTCCCAATTCGTATGCAGCACACGGCGTATGGTAATATTTGCATTTATTTAAATTGTCAGTGCAGAAAATGTATTATTTTTAGTAAAATGCAACTGCAAAACAAATCGTTTCTTTATAATTTACATAACATAACAAACGTAGCTGATCCATTGCAAAAAAATAACTGTCCAGAATACGTCATCTTTTCGAAAGCTAAAAAAAATTTGAAATTTAAAAAATTTATTGAAGCTTCAGCGTTCGCCTTTAGCCGTTGACAAACTGTTTTGTTTGTTTTTAGTTAACTGGCAGCGCGAATGTCTGAAAATTGCAGTGTCGGTTTGCCACTGGGGCAAATGGCAGCTCATTTAATGCGCTGCAAATTAATTGCCCCATTGCTATTGGCAATTTATGTGCCAGAAGGCGATGGAGGAGATGCCTTTGGCAGGCTGCCTAATTGCGAACATTTCCGAAATACAATTTAACTTTAAACTGCACTCAAGCTGTGCAGTAGCAGGCGGAACTACTGCTGCTGCTGCTGCCGTAAAGCAAAAGTTGCGGCTGCACAAATTACCAAGTGCCAAAAGGCAGCGTCAGCAGCATCAAAAAGCAAAGGAAAAGGAATGAACGGCAAATGCAACTGCAGTGCAACTGCACTCGCAGCAGTTGAAATTATGGCAAAAGTCATTAAAAGAGCAGCCAGCCACGAAGTCTGATGGCCAGCAGTAGCAGTAGCAGTCGCAGAGCCCAAGGCAAAAACTTTGTCAATATTGATTTGCGGTTCAGCTGAAGGCAAAACAAAAAATAAAGTAAAAAGAGAAAAGTAAACAAAAACAAAATTAATATAATCTGATTGCAAGCGGAGATGAAAACAATCAAACGCAGCAAATGCGCATCACGCATACGCCGCGTGCCCAGAAAATGTTTTAAGCAGCTCGCTAACTAGCACGACGCCCTTATTACAATATGCGAAAGTTGCAAGCAGAACAGAGAAAAAAAGAGTTAAATTCAATAAACAGCCATCATTCACTTACCAATTAAAGTGCAGCTGAAGAGAAACAGCAGCCAGGCGTAATCCATTTTTTGTATTTGCTCGGAAAATTGTTTGAATAAAATTAATTGATATGGCGTTGCGGGCGGCAGTCGATTGTTGTTCTTGTTGTTATTTTATGCTTTATGCTTGGCCACACTGCACAGAAAATATATTTATATATATATATAGAAGTCGTAGTGACATAGTCAGCGTTAGTTATTTATTATTATTTTGTATCTGCCCGTCGAGTGAATTGTTTAATATTTCAATAGCAATCGATGGCACAAAGGCCAAATGGAAATGCAGAGTAGCTTCAAGCCAAGTTAAATGATAATGGAGTGTCTGGCAGAGGTGCAGGGGGACGGAGTGGGAATCTGAAGCGAGGGAGAGACAGAGAGGGCGAGTTGAATGGAAAATGAAATTAATTGAATGCAGCGTCAAAGGCGAGTCTGTAGCTGTAGCTATAGAGAAATAAAAACACACACTACTAAACCAATATATATATCTATATGCATATATATATTTATATATATAACATGGATATATGTATATGACATCAACACAATTGCAAACTCATGCAGAAAAGTTCAAAGGATGTGCTCGCCGTTTGGCTGTGTTTGTCGTTTTATAAATAAATAACAAACATTTGGAAAATAAAAATACAAATAAAGAAAAACACGAGCAGCAGCAAAAATAAGTAAGTGGCATCTGTATGAAAAGGGAAAGGCACAAAGGGCATCGGGGCAGTTGGGAAGTGGAAAACGAGTGAAAGCACAACAACGAGGACAACAAAACAGGAAACAAGGGCGCTAGCTGGGCGTGGTGTGTCTGTGTGCGTGTGTGTGCGTTTGTCAACTTAAATAATTTAAATGTCGAATTCAAGCGAATTCATGTGCTTAATATTTGAGAGTGTCTGCCACGCCCCCGCTGCCGCAAGGCAATCTAACTGTAATGCACACGCTCTTACGCTTTTAGGAAGCTCGACGGAAACGGAAGTGCCGCGCTCAATTAGTCAGTTTGTCCTGCATATTTGCTTAGCCTCTATTTAACTTCATTATAGCTAAATGTTTTTTTCAGTTTATATTTGCATTTAATTAAAGTGTCACTTTCACAATATTATGTGTTAAATATAATTGCAACTTTTATAGTACATTTATCATAATTTTGTATTAATTTTCTTTGGTTTGTTTTTTTTTTTTTGTTGCCAGTTTGAACGTTTTTTATTTAGGCTGGACGCAGCGCTCTCTAAAGCATCTCCGCACGGCTTCGAGTTTACGAACTGACTGAAGCTGCAGCAGCAGCAGCAGCGCGAGAATCATGTCTTCTCGTCGGCCTCATCGTTGGCGTCGTCGGAGTTGGCGTCGTCGAAGTTGGCATCGTCGTCGTCGACATCGTCGTACTCGTAGCTGTCGTTAATGCAGCAGCAGCGACGCTAGTGTCCTACTCGTGTAATTGTAATGCTGCGGCTGCTGCGACGCTCAGCATCCGGCACGCTCGTCCACGCGTCGGCCCATTACAGCAAGAGGTTAACAGAAAAGAGCTCTTAACAGAGCGCCAAGAGAGCAACAGACACTCATTTGTAGTTTTGTGGCTGACTGTTAGCGCCTACTGCTGCTGTTAACATTAACAGCTGCTAGCACTGTTAGGCAGCATCAGAATTAAATGAACAGCAGCCGGCGCTGTAAAGGATCCTATTTGCACTGATAAGGTTTTTGTTGGCAATAAGCTAATTGTCAATTAGTTTATAGTGTGCAGTTACCTGTTTATGGCTATTACCATATTTATGGCTAGGCAACTTTTGACAACAACTTGACAGCATTTTAAGCAGTGAACATTTCGTCAGCAAAATCGCATTTAATTTAGTTTATGCAAGTTTTACGCTTGTTTTCAGTGCGGGTTGTTAAGGCAACGATAGTTGCCAGTTAAATACGGCCCCGACTGCAGCTGCAGCTGGCTGTGAAAATATAACGTGCAGTTGCAAAAGATACTGAAAAAAAAATAAAACAGCAGCAGCAGCGGCGTTGACGGCAACGAAGCCAGCACAAAGTCATCTTATCATTTCATGAATAATGCAGGGATTTGTTAGGGACACATGACTGGAATTTTACGCAAAACTTGTGATGATGCTGATGCTACTGCTGCTGATGCTGATGCTGATGCTACCAACCGCCAACCGACACGCAGGCTAACACTATACTTGTTGTTGTTTGTTACACTATAACTGCACGTTTGCTAGCCACCCCTCCACCAGCCCTCTTTTCTCTAGCCATATTCCTGGTTTGGCTGCGGCAATCAACAGAAAATTGCAGATTTTAAATTCAAAGCATTTTCGTCGTAGTCGCTTTTAAGCTCACTTCTTTGCTCGCCTCTGCTCTTCCAGGAAACCGCCTGCTGCACCTCCACCCGCACTACCCGACCCACACCGTTGCTGTGCGTGCATAAAGCAACTTAATTTCAACGAATAATTTCTGATGCTAAAATATGAATATTAAAACAAAAGCTAGCGCTTGTGCATATGCTACAGTACTTGCTCTCTCTTTCTCTCTCTCTCCTTTACGCTGCTTTCCATGCACAGCGCTTCTTTTGAGCGGAAGTAAGTCTGTTGTAAATGGCATTTCCGGCGCATTTCGACACACGTGTCTGTGTGAAGACATTGCAGCTACCTGTTCACAGGCTCAGCTACTTATTTACTTTTTCTTCTCTTCTCTCTTTACTTTTTTTTATATAAATATTCCTATTTTCAACGCCAGTCACGTGACAACGCAAACTTTTCACCATAAAAAAAGGTGCAGCAGCTAAAAACCAGCAAAAAATGTTGCAGCTTCAAACGTGCGTGCGTGTGTGTGTGAAAGTTTCGCTACAAATAAATCACATATTTTAAGAATTCATAACTTTAAGTTTGCTTCATGACTCCTGTTTGTGCATACGCCATAAACCAAGTGCATTACAACGCGGCGTATGCGCAACATTTGCAATTCACATGCACCAAAGTTTTCGCGGTTGCAACATGTCAATTATTGATGCCCGACAGGACACAAGCAACTTCAACATAAAAGCTACTCATAAATTTACGAGAAAAAAGTGCTAAATTTCGCTAAAGGTTTTATTGAAAGTATTTCAAAAATATGTTGTACAAAATTCTGTGCCCAGTGAATGAGTTGGCCATGGGGCAGAATAACTTGAATAAAATAAACAAACAAGAAATCGGGTTTAAAAGGGAGAGTATAAGGACCTCTTCAATCCAAATCCAAGGCTATTATTAGCTAACTTATTTGAGGACCTGGCCTAAACATTCCCATATATATCCATTATATTGTGTTTTCATGTTTATTATTAATTAGTGTATTGTGACACTCACTGGTAAGTAAAACAATAAATTTATGGTTTGCTTGTATATGTGATGTATTTGGCAGCTAAGAGCTCTGACGCTCGTGAGTCGCACGACTTTCAAAAATAAATTAGTATTAGAAGCTATATTGGAGTTTGATAAACCAACTGTCCAACAAACCACGTTACCTTCTGAAAGCAAACATAATTTAGAAAGTTAATCTATGAAAAACTGAAGATTCACATAAAATATAAAGAAACTCGGACCTTAAATATGAACATATTAAATTTGAAATTCTAACCTTTGCATATACATTTTTTTCAATATTTTTAAACTAGTAGAACGTTCGGCAGTAAGCAACTGAACCCTTCTGAAACATTTTTATTATACTCTCACTCTTCCCATATTTCTCTTCTTAAAAATAAAAGTTAATTAATAATTTAAAAAGAAGTTGACACAAGTTCCTAGAATGTTATTCGCTAAGTCAAGCATTTTTAAAGGTTTTTATAATAATTTTCTCTTTTTAATTTTCTTTATTTATATTTTAGTTTAAATATAAAATACACAATATATAGTGCAAAAATACGTTCTGGTATAGTTTTCGCACACATGTTCCTATTTAATTATCCAGTGCCTTGATTGCTCAGACTCAATATATATAAATATAACATTATTTAATTGTAAGGCCCGTGCCAATGACACATATAGAAGGTATACGCGGCATATTAAATTTGAGACCGCCAATACTTCAGCCGCGCGTTGCATGCCACAAGGAGCGACAATCAGGTTATCTTTACCACGAGTTGAGTGGTGGCAGCAACTCGTCTGTCGCTGGGGCCACCTTAATGAAAAACTAAATTGTCAAACAGCCGTGAATTGAATGAAATGAAGTGCAAAATTACAATTTCATCCAATTTGCAATTAACTCAATGAGAAGATACAATTTTTAGTCAATTTTTTTATTTTTTATTTTCATTTTCAAATTATTCCAATGGACACACTTGCAACTGAGTGTGTCGGTGGTGTCAGTGTGTTGAGTGCTGCACACTTTCACTCAACGCCACAACAACAACAGAAACACTTTGCGGTTGCACAGACCGCTGAAAACATGACAGAAACAGCTAAAGGTCTGACGAGGGGCGGGGCAGCCCAATGAGAGCTGCTGCTGCTGCTGACTGGGGACAGACGAGCAAATCGAGCGAGTTGCAAGCTGCGGACCGGCCAAGTTTCAGTCGCGCTTCTTGCAACATGGCGTTGCTCTCACCTTGCCCCATTCAGCGAGGATCTGGCTGCAAAAGTGCAAGTTTAATTGCATTGGCGAGTAACTAGTTAATGGCTGAAATTGCAAATTGAAATGGTGACAAAGCAATTGAGGTCAAAAACTCCCCGAATAGCTGCAGTAGCAGTGGCTGAGGCACCAGTGGCAGCAGCAGCAACAGTAGCAAGTGACAGAAGGGGTGGGCCAGCGCTAATTACAAACGGACATCGCTGCCAATGGGGTCAGTTGGCAGTTGTCTGTAGACCAATGCAACATGGAATCAAATAAAAAAATAGAAAGACAACATCAACAATAACAACAACAACAACAACAACTAGAACAGCGGCGAACCGTGTGAAATGTCAAAGTTGCAAAATGGCACTAAAAACATTTACAAATTGATTTTTTGTTGCCGGTCGCAGTTGCTGGCTAAAAATATATGTTTTTGCATATGAATGGCGCGCAAAACCGCAACGGGACTTGATTGCCAATCGCACAGACACACACACACACACGCAGGCAGACAGACTGTCAGACACACACAACTAATACATTCAATAGCACATTTTTCGGGGCACAATAATATAATGCCCATAACAAAATGGCCATTTGCATGTTCATTTTAGCCAGCCCGACAGAAGCGCAAATAAATGCAACTAAAAATTGCAGCGTCACGGCAAGTTGTTGTTGTTGTGTTTGTTGTTGTTGCAGTCATTGCTGTGGGGAAATTAACATTTAACATTTAACATTCGTTGCTTAGTTGACCAACACCCAAAATCGTGTTTTAATGCATTGACAATTTTTATTTTGGCTGCCAACGCTGCGTATACGCAATGCCACAACATTTATGCCCAAATTAATGAGAGGGCTCAACTGCCTCTGGGCGTGGCAGCTAAAATGAACAATTTTTAAATCAATTCTATATATATTTTTTTACTACAGTCCGACTTCCATATAATGCACAAGCAACACTCACGCTTTGGTGTATATTTATTATTGTATTCTTGAGCTAAACAGAAATAAATATTTTCAACAAAATTATTTACAAATTTTTTTTATTTTACATTAATTTATTTTTTTTTTAAATAAATCCTCATTAACTTACAACTATTCATCACAAACGTTTCAAAGAAAACTTCGAAGCATTTTTCATATGTAGTTCAAAGTTTCTATAAATTACTCAGATTATAATCAGATTTTAAATGGAAAATGTGTTTGCACACCATATTCGCGTTTGTTAGTGGGCTAGTTAGACTGTGCTCCCCGGCTTGCTATTAAATACAAATTACTTTGCCAAAAGCGCATATGTTATGGGTAATTGTAAAGAGTTTAAAACGAGGCCCAGATGACAACGGGCTCAAACGAAGCCACCCACAATTAAGCTGCAGATTAATAACTGACAATTAAACTCGGGCCGGCAATCAGGTGGACGGCAACCGAATTTAACATGCACTCGTATTAACATATTATAGCGTGAAATAAAAGAATAAAAAATGAAAATCAAACGAAGAACCTGACGCACATTTCAATCAAACAGAGGTGTGCAAATTATTCGAGCTGTGCGCAGAGGAAACGGAAATTGTAGCGCGTTCTGGTGCAGTTGCGTATATGAGTGTGTGTTTCTGTGTGTGTGTGTTTAAGTGTGTGTGTCTGGTATACATTGCAGGTGCACTCGATGCTGCTGTAAATTGCTCTTGATTTCGA